ACCAAAAATCTGGTTGTCTTTGTGCTTTGTTGTTTACTCTGTCCCTTCCCCGCACTTGAACCTGCTCCAGGGTACAGTCTTGCAAGTTGCTCAGGTGGTAATATCACCTTAGGGTGAGATGGAGCTAAGAAGTCAACCAAAGTTCAATGGCTTCAGACTTCAATTTATAGATAAATTTGTGGAGATAAGCTGGAAACTGAATGAGCATGGCTTTCTGAAAACCATGTCAGCAAGAGTTATCATTTGCTACAGCGCTTGCTCTGCAGAAATATTCCTGGTCCTTGCTTTTTGTACCTCCTGAGCTGAAGAGACTTAGCAATGCTAAATACTGAAGGTATTGATGGACGTGCACACGATGGCCACGCAATCCGCCCTCCCACAAATGACAGCAAGCAGTGCAGGTTTTTAGAGAGACAATCATGGCTGCAACGTAATTTTTATGGCAAGATCAGGGAACAAGTTGTAAAAAGGTACAAGCAATTCAATAAGTGGAATAGTGAGAAGTGAACCGGTGACATTTAATTTTAAAACACCGAGTCTGAAAGAGGCTAATGACTGATAGCTAACTCTCTCTGTTTTATCTCCTTTGAAAAGGTTGGCCCAGCAAGCAGATGCCATCTCTAGACACATTTGAAGATTTTGAAGCCATCCCCTCCAGCACAGATGAACTCTCCAACTCTTCTGACTTGGAAGAAGAGAACAACCCTAACAATGTAATTCCTTTTTCTAATTATGCTTTCCTTTCCCAGTGCAACCTCCTCTCTTCTAAAGATCATGATTTAACCTGCAAAGTTTGGGTTCATACCAGCCTTTAATACATGGATATGTGGGAAGACAGAAGATGGGAATTTGATCTGGGGTGTTGGGGCATTATTCCAAGACTTATTTTGTTGATCAGGACCATAAAAAGTCACCCCTACTTGCAAGCTGTAGCTTTACCTGTGTAAGTAAGTTACAAAAGTGAGGGAAAACTCTGAACTTTGAAAAAGTAATTTCAGACTTCTCCAAGTAACTCAACATGGTGTCACAAACCCAATTTCTATATCAGAACAATGACTGGCTGGTTAACTCTAAAGCCTGAATGCACAGTACTGTTCTGTCCAAAGTTCTAATAATATTTAACCTGGGCATGATAAAAGGAATAAAAAGTGACACAATTCCCTACAGAAGAAATCTCTGCCAGCTTGAAATGCCTAATTCAGTATTTAACTAAACTCGCTCTCTCTTGCACACTGTTTTCATCCGTAGTGACTGTATTTCTGGTGCATTGTTTCATTCATTTTAGGGGACAAATCTTTTTCGGGTAGAAGGCAGTTTTGACAGCTGTTTCCCGGATTCTCTTACACTCGAGGATGGAGATTTAGTGGAGTTTGTGCAGGAAGGAGAAAATGGTCAATGGTAAGTACAGCAGAGAGACAGAATTTGACAGGTAGAACAGCCATAACCCCCTGGAAAAAATGGAAAATATTCAGAAGAATGTCAAAGCCTCTTCAAAATCTATCCAAATCCACTCACCCCATTGACCACAATGTGAAACAGGCAGTGGGAGGCATGAACATACAAGCAGCTTTGGTTAATTCCACCTGGTTGGCCTTCATCCCAAATGCTTGTGACACGAGGCTTAAGTGGACAGAAGTTTGCATAAAGGAAACAGAGGGGAATATTTGGGCTTTTGACACTTTCTAGCCAGACAGACAACTGTCAAAGGCAGCAGCCCCACACAGGACACATCACTGAGCTTCAGCAGTGAACCAGAGAGCATTTCTAGCCCCAAAGGCTTAGATGTAAGGCGTGATTGACAAAATGGAATGAATCTGTCCCCCTTGAGCCCACATATGTTTCAGTATATTTTTTCTCTCTTTATGACAAGTGAGTGTTAGGAAGAGACCTGGCTTGGCATCTGAATTCTCTTTCCATGGGTAATTTAGAGGAAGAAGACCTGATCTCCCTGAAGCGCCCGTGCAGTCAGGCCCTTCACTCAGTACTGATGTGCGACTGGGATGGGAGCAAGTCCCATAGGGTGAAGTAGATGGGAGGTGAACTAAAACCATCCACCCTAGATGATATTTACAGCAAGGGGGATGGACAACATAAAAGATCCAATTTCTTCAGCTGTGAATTTGGCCCAGCGTCCCAAACACAGGCCAAGGCCACTGCTCCATTGTCACACAGTCTGTTTGCAAGGGAGCTTGTTCTGGTATACTGGGTCACCGTCTGACACTGGTGAAACGTGGTCACCGGCTCCTGTAGGACTTCCCTGGGGCCTCTGCCTTCTTCCTTAGTTTAGAAAGCAGCTGCCCAACATACACCTCTAAGAAACACAACCCAGGAAAAAAATTCACTGACTGTTGTCTGAATTTCAGGTTAGTGAAGAAACTGGTCTCTGAGAAAAGCGACTGGGTTCCTTCCAGTATATTGCAGCCAGCAGAGGGGGACAGTAACAACATAATGAAGAACAGCAATGCAGGTAATAGAGGAAATGTGTTACTGGCATTTATTTTTTTTAATACTGAAACAGGATGTGACAAAAAAGGATGTAATAAACAGTGCACTTTCTGTATTAAAGTATTTGGCCTGGGTGCATGTCTGTGCTGCAGTCTCTGGAGATGCAGCAGAGCTAGCCTGAAATCTGGTGCCTTAGGTGTTAAAGCTAGTTAGGCACTGCAGCTTACCTTGGCATGGTTTAATTGTTTTCCCCTTCTCAGGCAGAATTCGAATCTCCCACCAAACTTTTTCAGGTACCAGCACCCAGGCTGGCTACTTTACAGCTAGCCCAAGGTGTGTTGTAACTGCAGGACAGCTTTTATCCTGACGCAGGTGGCATTTGGATTTAGATCAGTATCAGGGCTGTGGTTCTGGTCTAGGTTTGAGAACATTAACATCTCATGAACCATTACTGCTTTCATCATATTTCACTGCTGGCTCCAAAGGCTGGAGGAAGGGCTGCTCTGGTGAGTTTTCAGCCAAATCAGCACTAAAAGTCTTCCTTTCTTCAGCTTCGGTTCTGACCTAATGCCCAAACAGGTTACACTGGAAAAGCTGAATCTCAGCAACTCTGCAGATCAAAGGTTTACAATTTTAGATTAATTTTTGTCCATCCTTAAATTTAATTTACCAAATTGCATCTTACTTTTCTGCTAGCAACAGAAGAAAGCAAAATCTGGCACAGTCGTTCCCTGAGACCTGCAATAGAGAGCTACCAGCATTTTATTCTGAGTTACTAGTTTCTTTTGATTATTATTTTTTTTGTCAGTTTATTAAAGTGGAGAAAACTCTTTTCGAAATTAACCGGGATTCTTTCCTGTGGTTTAAAGGGAGTTTGGTAATTGCTGTTCCTTCACCTCCACAGCAGATCAGTCCTGTCTTCACCCTCAGTGCCTAACTACGGCTCTCATTTCTTTGACAAGTCTCATGCTTCGAAAGAAAAATAAAACCACACAAATTACAGTTAGTTACACGCCAAAAGATCCTCCCTTGCCTTTAGTGAAGGAGTTAGGAGAGCAGTAGAATTGTGATTATTTATTTTTTATTTTATTTCAGGCTTTTAACAATGAACCTCAAGACTGTAGATGGGAAATCCTTTAGGTGGGTTATAGTGACAATGCCCATGTCCTCCTTTTCAGACATGTACAACGATTCCTGCAGCATGGCCTCAGTAGAGTCAGACACTAAGGAGAGCGAGGTGGCCAAAAGCTTCCCAGCAGAACAGAGGGCTGGTAGCTGAACAGCAGGACCAGCCTTCCTCAGAACCCCATCCATCTCTGTTTATTTTGGGTGAACACTGGATCAAAGTTGCCTTTCTCACAAGCTCTGAGGTTCATAATTCACTAAAACTTTATCAGCATGAACAGATGAGAACTGTGCTGTCTACCTGGCAAGCTGGGAAAAACAAACTTGAAAGGAGCATCAAACATCCAGAAAGCATCAAAACCCACCTTCAGTATTAGAGGAGAAAAATGCTTCTTGCATTGATTAACAAACTGTTTCAGAAGATGTGGCCTAAATTAGGTCAACAGCAGAGATGAAGAATTACTATGCACGCACCTTTTGGCAACTTTGCTTGAACACCGAGTTACTGCAGAGGGACACATGCACGGTTACAAGTTCTTGCTCTACCGTGGGATCGTCTGGAGGTTTTTCTATTTGCTTGCCTCTGGCTGTGCCTTCCCTGTCCTCCTTAGTTCCAGCTGATACATCAAAGATGTGCCCTTTTTGCTGATGGTCAACACCAAAACCATCCCATTTTAGGATGGCTACGAAAGGGAAACTCCTGACTTGGACCATCAGAGAGGCTTCGCACAGCAATGACGTGACCACTTTTGCAATGGCACAGCGAACAACCTGCTGCATAAGGCATATGTTGGGACGATGAAGATGGCAACTCCTGGCTACAAAGTGGAGGTGCAGGGCTTAGCAGGGAAGCAAAGACGTGTGACAGCTACTGTGACAAAGAACAATTTGAACTCTTTTTACAATATAAGTCATTCCTCTACCCCCTCTGCAGTCTGTGGTTGCTGGATCACAATCTTTTGCATTCGGTGCCGAGAATTCAATTGAATACCATTTAATGTCATATGTTTGAGTAGACTGCATGCTTTCTTTGTGTGCTGGGCTATGGAGTAGATACATTTCATCCCCCGTTTGGAATATACTTAAGCATTGCAAATAGGCAGTGAGCATTAGATGCTCCAATGAGTGGATAAAGTGGTGGTGGTGGTAAATACTTCTTTCTGGGATATTTGATTAAAGGACTGTACCAAATCTCTGCCACATAAGGATGTAATGTATAATATAGAGTGATTACAGATGTTATTATTCCTATATAAGCCATTAGCTCATTTAGAGCAGCTGTTAAGGCATGAAGGCATTTTGATGGTAATTGGAGTTTAGGTCCCACAAAAGCTGCTAATACTTTACTAAAGATAAGTATTGACTAAGGGTTGCAAACAGGCAAAGAGCAGCCTGGTAAAAATCACCCTAGAAGCTCAAGAGTGAGTGATTGGCTTTCACTATTAGGGATTTTTTGTTTAACCTTGAGACTAGTGGTGCTCCATGTAAATAACAAAGGGGACAAAAGCACTAAAAATGGAGGTGAATCAAAACCAAAAACCAGTCTTTAGTAATTGAGCCTCCAAGCAAGATAGTAGGAGTCTGTATCATTTCTGTTTTCATCTTTGCAGGGACCCAAATGTTCTTTGTATCAGTGGAGGCTGGCATTACGAATACCTTAGTGTGTGAGTCAGGGTAGCTGTGAAGCAGGTAGATAGTCTCATTCAAGAAAAACTCTCAGAGTAGGTAAAGTTTTCTTCAGATTTTCTTTGCCTATGAAGGCTTATTGGTTATTTATGAGTTGCACTGTGGTGGTTAATTCCCATGGTTCTTCTAACTCTCAATATCTGGAGTTTTCCATTCATGACTAAAGGACTTGAGAATTCTGTACCTTTTTGGAAGCTAATTTTGTCCTACAGAGATAAAAGCTTGTCTGTTTTGTGCTGGTCATCTACCTTAAACATGACATGTAGGGTCTCAGGAACATGAATCCTGTTAGTCTACTGTAGTTATGAGCATCTTGAGGAAAGAACTGATTCATTTCAGTCCCCCAAGGAAATATGCAGTGATGTTTTCTTGTAGTGCAATTATTTTATCCTCTCCCTAAACCAAGTTCATTTCAGTTTCTCTATTACTTTCAGTAATTTTTGCATGGCCTGATGACAGTGCTTCTGTCTACCTCTGCCCCAAGCATAGGAGAGGAAAGGGGTAGGGAGATTTGATTGCACATTAATAAATATAGTAAGCTTTTGTGTGTGGTGAGAGAGAGTGTGCTGGAGAAGGGTTACCCTAGGTATATGAAACTGCCAAAACTAGGATTTGTGACATTGCTGACAGAGGGAAAGATGCAAACCTGCACTTTGGAGCTTCTTTGGAGGAATCTGATTCTAACGGTGAAATGGCAGCGTAAAGTCTCTGTTTGAACTGAAGATGGACCATCAGGTATTGTCAGTCCATTTCCTACCTCTGCTGTGTGCAGGGTGACAGTGTGCTAATCCTATATCTCCTGGAGCCTCAGTATCTTCCTGTAAAATGGGAGCTATTGGATTTCCCACATGTCGAATTCTGATGCTAAATTTTAGCATGTATGCAAAAATTGGGGACCCTCAAGGGGAGAGCAAAGCATTCAGCCCTATATGTCCTGCTGTGCCCTCCATGAGTGTCAGTGGTGGCATCCTGTGGGGCAGTCTAGAGCTGGAGGATTGCTGCAGAAGTGTCTCCTCTCTCCCAGCTCACCATGTCATCATGACAACTGCAAAGGTATGGGCTGGATTATCACAATTCTCTTCTCTACTTTGCTTTTGAAAACAATTTTTTTTTCCAAAATCTCATATTTTATCCTGTTGGACCAAAGTTTGAGTCACTCCTGCACCACGAATGTCCTAAGGATGGCAAGTAACTCACTGCCCCATGACTGTGTGCAGCAGTGGCACAGCACTCTGGGCTCAGTGGTCTTTGGGAGCAGATTGTATCACCGCTGTCCTCAGACACTGCTGAACATGAGCAGGGAGCCCACAACCATTAGTTGTGTCTTTAACCTTCCTGCTCTGCCAGCGAGCCAAAGGCAGCTGCCTGTTTCTGTCTCCACGTTCCAAACTCAGACTGTACTGCAACTGCTGCTGGGGAGTTACCCGGGCCCTTTGCCTGTTTGATGCCTGTGGTGCAAATGGAAGCAAGATAGTTCCACACTGCTGGGTTTGCTTTTTTAAAGAACAAAGTTCCATGACAGATCAGGATGCTGGCAAGTCTGAGAGCAGCCAACAAGAAGTAACCTTCTGGCTTTGCTGACAAGAGAAAATGGGGTTTGATGACTTTTTGTTGTTGTTGTTTCTTTAAATAGTAGATAGGACAGTCTTTTAATTAGTGTATTTCTGTCAAGCAAGGTGATAATTAAGAGAGTGACTTTCCATATACGGTCTAGAATATGATTTGGTAATGTCCAGCAAGACTAATATTCAGGTATACTTATTCAATATGTAGGTTTTTGACACCGTCATTTTCAGGTAGATGGACGTAAAAATCATAGTTTTCAAACACAGATTTCATTTCAGTGTTATTTGGATATTATACAGTGACCAGAAAGTCATTTAAAAGTAATGGTTGCCACTAAGTTTCAGTTGTAGAAGAGACAAGGTCCAACGTAAATCTATACTGTAGAAGCACTGGTGGTTGAGTGTTGTGCCCATGTAGTTTGACCAATGGGTCCATGCCAGCTACCTGGCTGCTCGCTCCGGGTGCAGACTAGTGGGACCTGCCCTCTGGGCTGATGTTTTGACTTGGATCTCCTCCATCTGCTCTGCTGCTGTCTTCTGTGGAACTTGGAGAAACTTCACATCCTTGAAACTCTGCCCTCTGCTCAGTCAGATGTACTTGGGCAACAGACTCCTTCCTTGCTGGTGGTAATGACAAACAGAGACAGGCAGTTGCTGTGATAGACAAGTCTTGCTTTTTTAGTAAACCAGGCCAAAATGTAATCAGGCCTGGTCCTCTCCTCCTCTCACAGTCTAACCCCACCGGGTGGAGAATCAGACCAATGGTCGTTGACTGGATCATAAATGGCTGCGGCCAAACCGTGTCTGAACACTGGCTTTTCTTGCCATTGACAACAAAGCTCTGTGTGTGTGTGTGTCATATTCTGGTTGTGTATGTGATGAAAAGCCATTTTATTATCCATAATTTTCTTAGATTCTGAGATTTCAGACAGGATTGGGTATGAGAAAGGCCATCTGCTTCCTTTCCAAAAATACTCAAAGCCTGACTTCAAATATATATATGATTAAAAATATATAAGAATAATAAGAAAAAAGAGCCAAACTGTGTATTTCTTCTTGCAGCTGGAGCTGAAATAGCTGCTAAGATTTCTTCTCCCCAGCTGAGGATTGGTACAGTTTGTTTTTCTTACATATTTTCCATGGTGTTGATAATGATGTATTTGTATATTGTGACTGATGAGAGATAATCAGACAGGGA